TTTGTCGTTGACCCGCGGTGGAACACAACAGAAACCGAGCTGGCACAAACGTTTGACAAATGGTTGACAAACGTTTGGGAGTGAGGGTCTGCGTGGCGACAAACCACACACACAAACGTTTGACAAACGTTTGACACAGGATTGGTGAATTGTTAACAAACGTTTGCATGAATTTCGGTACCGCCGAAATGAAATTCGACAGCGCCGAGCAGCAAAATTGGTAACGGCTACCGAAATATCTTGGGTGCCGCCTGCAAAAGCGAGAATTCCACCGCTACCGATTCTAGCCAGCGCTGGGGGAAATCGGGTAGCTGCCGATTCTTGTTTCGCGCTACCGACGTTTTGGGGTATCGCATGATCTGGGTAATGAGGACATCCCACCCCCACCCCCCACCCCAGCCAGGACCCCCACTCCCGACCTGGTGATCCAAAATGTCCTGGCTGGGAATCCGTTGGTTTCTGGCGGTTGTTGGGGGCCAAACCACCACCGGCACCACCAGCCAGGACCCCCTGGATCTCCAGGCCGGGAGTGGGGGGCCCTGGCTGGGGGGGGGGGGGGAGTTGTGCTGTCCTAGCCCAGAGATCCGACGTCGTGCTTTTTTCAATACGGGGCCCCCAGAAATCGCGACCCATTCCCTGGGACCGGTCTTTCATCCTGAGTCGTTTTTGACGGTTTTGGGGCCCCTAGAGGCCGAAACCAATCAAAAACCTCCGTCATGTTTTTTCAATACGTTCGATCTCTGGGAACGTCCCGTCCTTCGACCACCTTCCAAAACAGCAATCAAAAGCTACCGATTCTGCTACTCCCAGGACCTCTCCTGGAGTGCCTTCGATCTCATCATAACCTCGAAGTGACTCTAGCCGTGGCGACGAAGGCCTCCCGAGATGCCCGGAAACGGGGCAAGACTAGGCACTGGTAGCGGTATCGGCACCTTGTCTTAGGTCGCGCATGTCCTCCTACAGGCGGATTTTGAACGAAAAATGAAAAACCCCAAAACAACCAAACAATGCTCAAACATACTTTATAACCCCAAAAGCGTCCCTGGATTATTTTTAAACTATGTTTGACTATTCCTCCTGTAGAGGGACACGCCCGACTTAAACCTTGTGCTCGAACTGCTTCGCGACCCCCCCCGACCGAACCGACAGCGAAACCGACACCGACCGAAATCGACGGGCTGAAGAAGCAGCCTAGAATAGGGCGCAGCGACGCGGCGACAACACGACCATCGACCCACCGCACCGAACCGACCGACCGACCGCGACCGACCGCGACGCAACCGAACCGACCGAACAGTGGACACGCCTGCCGACCCTCCGAAATCCCACGGCCGCTTGCGGCAGGCCGCCTACCACAAAATGTTCTTAAACCCCAACATGTTCTAATAATAAAAACAATGTTCTTAGAACATACGCCCGATGTGTTGAAACAAGACAATCTCAACCAGGAATGTTCTAAGAACATTCCATGGAAACCGCAAAAAGTTTTGAAAACATTGTTTGGTAGGGCTATAGGCGAGCCAGGACGCTTCGCCACTGCTTGATTGCGGCAGGCCGCCGCCAGCGTCGCGCCGAGCACCGGCGCGGCCAGCGCGGCCAGCAGCGGGCGCGCGGCCGGCTGGCTGTGCTTGGCGGCGCGCGGCGCCACGAGTCCGGCCACGGCAAGGGCCTCGGCGCCCCAACCAAAGGAGCAGAGCACGGCAGAAGCAGAAATCCTCGGAGGTCGGCGAGGATGTCTTGGATCGGCGTTGAGCCCGCCGCTCTTCGCTCTCTGCCAGGCGCCCTGGCATCCTTCCCCAACGGGCGCAAAGCCAGAGCCGTTCTCGTGGAATCCTGAGCAAGCTCAGGGAGTCACCTCCACAGAAACAAATCATACATACATGTATGGATGTAAAAACAATGATATCTAGATATCTATATACACATACATACATACATACATACATACATACATACATACATACATACATACATACATACATACATACATACATACACACACAGACAGACAGACAGACAGACAGACAGACAGACAGACAGACAGACAGACAGACATACAGACATACATTGATTTCCTGACGGTCGCCGTACTAGCGCAGGGTACCGAGGGGGCCCTCCTCGGGGTCTCTTGGGACCGTTTCCAAGCCGTCTTGGGGGTCTCCTGGGCCGACCTGGGGCCCTCTGGGGCCGTCTTGAGTCCCTCTTGAGGCTGTTCTGGGGCGGACTGGGGGCCCCGGTGGGCTGTCCCGAAGGAGCACCTTCGGGGGGGCCACTTGGAGCGTCTTGGGGCCGTCTGGGACCTCTCTTGGGCCGTCCTGGGCTCGTTCGTCTTGGGGCCCTCTTGGGCGCCTATTGGGCCATCGTGGAGCGATCTCGGGTGCCTCTTCCTGCCTCTTCGGCCGTGTCGGACGTGCTGGAGATCGAGAAACCGAGTGTATTCCAACATTGCACCGAAGCCGAAGGAAAGCCCATGATTGATGCCTCCTGGGGACCTCTTGGGTGTCTTCGGGTCCCCTTTGGCCATCTAGGGGGGCGCGTTGGGCCGTCGAGTGGCCATGTTTGGTTTATCTTGGGCCATCTTGCGGCCATCGTGGCCGTCTGGGGGCGCTCGTCGGGCCTTCCGGAGACCTCCGCGGGTGGTTCTTGGGCGGGCGGGTCGCGGGCGGGTCGCGGGGTGGGTTGCGGGCGGGACGCGGGTGGGTCGCGGGTGGGTCGCGCGTGGGTCGCGGGCGGGTCGCGGGTTGGTCGCGAGGTGGGTCGCGGGTGGGTCGCGGGTGGGTCGCGAGTGCGTTGCGAGTGGGTCGCGGGTGAGTCGCGTGTGGGTCGCGGGTGGGTCGCGGGCGGGTCGCGGGTGGGTCGCAGGCCGGGTCGTGAGATGGACGACGACATCCACTATGCAACGGAACGCAACAACAATCCGCACCCCGGTACCCCACTTCAGCCACGCACCCAAGGACAGTGAATCTGAATGACCGTTCCGCCCCGTCACCCTGATATGCATATATACACACTGTATACAGATTCAGCTATATACACATCCATACATATTTACATACACGTATACATATATATATATATACCAGAGTGAGGGGGCTGAACCGAACGGTCATTCACTGTCCCTGGGTGCGTGGATGAAGTGGAATTCCCAAATGCGGATTATTGTTATTGTTGCTGATGTTGTTGTTATTGTTGTTGTTGGTGTTGTTGTTGTTGTTGTTGTTGTTGTTCTTGTTGTTGTTGTTGTTGTTGTTGTTGTGTTTGTTGTTTGTTGTTTGTTGTTTGTTGTTTGTTGTTGTCGTCGCCCCACCCGAAAACCGCCCCGCGACTCACCCGCGACCCACCCCGCAACCCACCCGCGACCCACCCGCGACCAACCCCGCGACCCACCCGCGACCCACCCCGAGACCCACCCGCGACCCACCCGCGACCCACCTGCGACCCACCCCGCGACCCGCCCGCGACCCACCCCGAGACCCCCCCGGCGCCCCACCCGCGACCCACCCGGGACCCTTCCCGCGACCCACCCTGCGACCCATCCCAAATTTTCTGCGCCTGCGGCGGGTTTTTTTTGCATTCGTTCCAGGTGGAGAACCTGCGACCCATCCGCGACCCAAAAACGGCGCCCGCGACCCACCCGCGACCCACCAAGACCCACCCGCGACCCACCCGCGGCCCACCCCGCGACCCACCCAAAGTTTTCGGCGCCTGCGGCGGCCTTCTTATACAAATCAAAATTTTCGGCGCCTGCGGCGGGCTGTTTTTGAATTCCTTCTAGGTGGAGGTGGAGAGCCCGCGACCCACCCGCGACCAAAACTACGTTCACTGAACAAGCCAAAAATTCTGCGCCTGCGGCGGGCTGTTTTTGCATTCGTTCCAGGTAGAGAGCCTGCGACCCAAACCGCGTTCAGTGTACAAATCAAAATTTTCGGCGCCTGCGGCGGGCCGTTTTTGAATTCCTTCTAGGTGGAGGTGGAGAGCCCGCGACCCACCCGCGACCCAAACTACGTTCACTGACACAAGCCAAAAATTCGGCGCCTGCGGCGGGCTGTTTTTGCATTCGTTCTGGGTGAGTGAGGTGGGGACGGAGGGGGACGACGAGAAAGGAGGGAGGAGGAGGGGGAGGGGGAGGAGGACGACGACGACGACGACGGAAAGGAGGAGGGGGGAGGATCGGGATGGGGGAGGAAAAGGAGAAGTAGGAGGAGGAGGAAGAGGAGGAGGAGGAGGCGGAGGAGGACGAGGAAAAGGAGGAAGAGGAGGAGAAGGTGGAGGAGGAGGAGGCGGACGACGACGACGACGACGACGACGACGACGACGACGACGACGACGACGACGACGACGATAGGGACGAGGACGCGGACGAGGAAGAGGAGGAGGAGCAGGAGGAGGAGAAGGAGGAGGGCGCTATCGACAGGGAAGGTGAGGGCCACGAGGTCCGCCGGCTCGACGCCCGCCTCGCCCGCGCCCGCCCCCTCACTCTTATCCGCAATTGCGGGGTGCGACTTTTACATATATATATATATATACACATATATACCTAGCATCAGTGGTCAAACAAGTAAAATCAGATACTACACTGAATCAACACCAAAAGGCCAAGAAGGTACATCCCTTGCAGGCCGGCCTCAAGCAGCGCTGTCACGCTTATAGAATGCACCTACCACGACGTTTTCCTGTCAGACGGTATGGTTTGTTTCATTCTGGCGTTTCCCTCTATGTTGGAAAAGGCCCACTAGAAGGGGGACTTTAATAAACCAGGGCGGTGGCGCGTCCCGGAAAACCGCAGCCGTTCTTCGTTCGCTTCGGATGTTTTTTGCTTAAACAAATCAAAAACAGCATTGACTAGCAATGTCCTGGTACTCTGGGAGCTATGATTCGGCCTCTGGGGCCCGTGGGACGAATAGCTGTATACATATATATATATATACATACATACATACATACATACAAACATACATACATACATACATATATATATATATATAGATATACACAGATATATAGATATCGGAGGTTGGGGGGTCAGATCGCAGAAGAACGGAGACCCCCAACCGGGAAATCGTTCCGTTTCGTTCGTGTCGTGCGTGCGGGCGAGGCGAAGCTGCGTGGGCGCGCGAGAAGAATGAACCCGCCGTTGCTAGGGCGAAATCAAAACAAATGATTCTCCCCCGCCCGCCCGCCCGTCCGTCCGTCCGGCGGTGGCTCCCGGTGTCCCGCGGTGTCCCGTGGTGTCCCGTGGTGTCCCGTTGAATGAGATCGATACTGAGATCGATAGTGAGATCGATATTGAGATCGATAGTGAGATCGATACTGAGATGGATGTGGTGCTCCGAGGTGTCCCGTGGTGTCCCAGAAAGTGAGAACGATAGTGAGATCGATAGTGAGATCGACAGGTGTCCCGTGGTGTCCCGTTGAGTGAGATCGATAGTGAGATCAATGTGGTGCCCCGAGGTGCCCCGAGGTGTCCCCCGAAAAAATCGATAGTGAGATCGATAGTGAGATCGACAGGTGTCCCGTGGTGTCCCGTTGTGTCCCGTTGAGTGAGATCGATAGTGAGATGGATAATGAGATCGATAGTGAGATCAATGTGGTGTCCCGAGGTGCCCCGTGGTGTCTTATGGTGCCCCGTTGAGTGAGATCGATAAGGAGATCGAAAGTGAGACCGATCGTGAGATCGAGAGGCTAATCGAGAGGTGTCCCGCGGTGTCACGTGGTGGCCCGTGGTGTCCCGTATAGTGAGATCGATAGTGAGATCGATCGTGAGATCGACAAGTCCCCTGGTGTCCTGTTGAGTGAGATCGATAGTGAGATCGATTGAGTCAGATGTTGGTTCCCCCCTCTCCCCCACGCGCAACCTCCTTATCACCCGAAGGGTGGTCGTATAGGTATGTACACTAGAACCATCGCGCGTGCTTCGCGCGCGCTCAAGTTCTAGCTAGGCTTGATGGGTTGGAGGCCCTGCGCAAGCCTCGGGATCGTATAGAAAGGGAACTGCGGAAACGCAAAAATCATTAATTGCCATTCGGTATTCAACGATTTGGGGCCCTCGAATGCTTCCTGGGATTTTTCTGCGGCCTTAGTTGTGGTCGGTTGTGTAAGAGTAGACAGGGGGGCGAACTTGGAAAACAAAAAAACGGAATGGGGGGATTTACCTTTTTTTCAAGAAGTTGTAGTGCCTGGGCTGTGGGTTAGACGATTTCTGCATGCAGGCCACGGTCTGTTGGGATGCCTCTCGGGGTCTTTGTGCAAAAATAAGCAAGGGGAAGTTTGGAAAAAGGAATTCTAAAATTCCACTGCTTCAACTCATGGGATCATGGGATCTCGATTTCTACAGTGTATTCCGGGGCAGCCAGGAGGACACGAAGACGATCCAAGAGAGTGCCAAGACAGCGTCAGGGAGTTCACCAGCATTCCCGAAACATGTTGCATGTGACCCCGAAGTCTTGATGGGGCTCGAGGAAGAGGATAGGGAGTAGGAGTTCCAACTTGAAAAAAAAAAGAAATCTCTGGAATTCCATTCTTCAACTTACTCGGTCTTAGAGCGTTGCAAGCGAGAAAACGTGAGAAGGCGCAAAACGTCGACAAAAACCACTGGAAAGCAACGATTTGACCCTCTTCGGGCTCTCGGGACGGCTCTCGAAGCTCTCTTGGGCTGTTTTGGGGGCCTCGTCGGAGATTTTTTGGGAGCCTCTCAAGGGTCTGGGGTGTGTTGGAAGCCTCTGGGGGGTCCCTGAGTCCTCTCAGAGTTCTCCGGAGGCCTCCTGCTCCCGCTCTTGGGCTCATCTTGGGCCTGTTCTGGGGTAGTCTGGAACTGTCCTGGGCGCCTCTTCGGCACTCTTGGGCGGTCTCGGGGCGGTCTTGGGGGCCTCTTCGGCCATCTTGGAGCGTTGGACGCATGAAATGGTGAGAAGGCCAACAACAATGACAAACAAATGAAAGTTAACGATTTTAGATTCTCCAGGCGCTCTCGGGAGGCCTCTCGGAGCTTTCTTGAGGTCTCTTGGAGGCATCCTGGGAGCCTGGAGAGCCGCCCGAAAGCTATCGTGGGTTGCTTGGGAGCGTCTTGGGCAATTCTTTTACGTTCTGGGGGCATACTCGAGATGTGAGCGAGGTGGAGGACGCCCCGGGAGGGGGCCCGGCGCACTTGTTTACAATCCCTCTTTCTCTCTCTCTCTCTCTCTCTCTCTCTCTCTCTCTCTCTCTCTCTCTCTCTCTCTCTATATATATATATACACCCCGCGGAAAGGGACCTCCGTAGAAGAAGAAGAAGAAGAAGAAGAATAAGAAGAATAAGCAAGAAACAACATCAAAATCAGAAATATAAGCATAAGGAACAACGCCATGGACACCTCTCCCCTTCTCTCCGTCCCCTCCTCCTTTCCTCCTCCTCCTCCTCATCATCATCATCATCCTCCTTCTCCTACTAGACCTCAGTAATCTCGACCTCATTCTCCTCCTTGTCCTCTTCAACCTCCGCTTCCCCTTTGACCTCCCCCTGCTCCCCTGTCCCCCCACCCACCTTCACCCCTTCGTCGACGTGGGCATCCCCTTCGTCGTCGTCCTCCTCCTCCTCCTCCTCCTCCTCATCCTCCTCCTCGTCCCCCTCCTCCTCCTCTTCCTCCTTCTCCTCCTGCTCCTCATCCTCCTCCTCCTCCTCCTCCTCCTCATCCTCCTCCTCCTCCTCCTCCTCGCCGCCTGGTCGTCGTGGCCGTGGCCGTGGCCGTGGCCGTCGCCGCCGTCTTCGTGCGCGGCCGCCGCCGAGACCCGCCGCCGGGCCTCCCGCGGAGGCCGCCGCGAGGGCCCTCCGAAGGCCGCCCGGGAGGCCCCGCACCACGGAGAGGCGCCCGGGGCGAGGGGGCCCCGGGGCGAGGGGTGGCCGAGCACCGCGGCCGTGACCCACAGCGTCTCCTCCACGCCCGCGGGGCGCATCAGCAGCACCTCGGCTGCGAGCACGCCTGGGCGGGGGGGGGGCCATCGGCGGCGAGCGAGGGGGGAGGAGTGAGAATAGGGGAAGAATCACGAACTTCATAAGCATATAAACTTGTGGCGCTTCGCGCGGATGCCTTGGATCTGCGCTGGACACCCCTCGCCAGCGCGCGGAGCGCGCCAAGGGCGGCGCCGGAGGCGCCGCCGGGGGGGCCAAGCGCGGATCCAAGAAAGCCGCTCGGAGTGCCAAAAGTTCATGTTTATGGCTCCTTCGTTCATCGGCGGCGAGCAAGGGGGGAAGTGAGATGGGGCGGGCCTTCTCAAAGGCGGGCGGGCCTTCTCAGAAGGCTAGGACGTTCCCTCCTCTTCTAAGAAAGCTTCCTGCGCCTTCCTCGAGGACGAGAAAAACTTCTCAGGAGGCGCGAGGGCTTCTGAGAAGTCCCCCCGCCTTCTGAGCGGGCCTTCTCCATCTCACTCCCCCCCCTCGGTTGCCGCCGATATCAGGGGCGACGCTGAGGCTGAGGCTGCGCCTATAGCGTCCTAGGGGGACGGCCCAACGTGGGGCTGGGCGGTGGCCCCGGGGCGCTGGCATCGCATTCGATCAGTAACCCGCGGTTGTGTCGCTGTGCGTCCTCCTGTGTGGGACACGTGCGAATCCTTAAAAAGGTTGCCCATGGGTCAATGTCCGTCACAACTGATCCGCACAGCTTTGCGCAAGTATCGCGAATCAGACATCAGGAGCGAAGAGGAGACAGCCACCAGGGCCACAACCCCTGATATACTTGCATCTTGTTCTCACTTACCACAACCCCAGATATACTTGCATCTTGTTCTCACTTATCATGTTTTAAACAAACAACGCGATGGCAAGATTATGGCCGTTTTCGGCCTCTAAGGGTCATGGGACTGTCAACAAAAAGACTCGGGATGACAAACCTGCCCGGGGGAAAGGGTCGGGATTTCTGGGGACCCCCTGTTGACAAGTCAAGACGTCGCATGCCTGGGGGGACGTCCGCCACCGCTGTGCCGAGGGAACCGTCCCTGGCGCCCCTCGTACGTCCGACCCCGGCCACCCAGCCGTGAGAACTTGGAGGAGGGAGGAGGGAGGAGGGGGGAGGGGGGAGGGGGGAGGGGGGAGGGGGGAGGGAGGAGGAGGGAGGAGGGAGGAGGGAGGAGGGAGGAGGGAGGAGGGCGCGCGGCGCCCGGCGGCGACTGCCGCGCGCAGGCTACCACCGCTGTCGGCTCGGGGTCGGCCCTGGGGGGGCGATCGGCGGCGATTCCCTCGGCCCCGTGCAGTCGCGGTGGCTTCTTCTTCTTCTTCGCCCACGAGTGGAGGGAGGCAGGACGAGGATGAGGATGAGGATAAGGAGATTGAGGATGAGGATGATGATGATGAGGATGGGGATGAGGATTTGGATGAGATGCGGATGGATCGCTAATCGACGTGTCAATGTTGGGGGTTCTGTCCACCCCCGATTCTTCTTCGCCCATGAGTGGAGGGAGGCAGGACCAGTCAGCACCGAATCGGCAGAGCGGATCAGATCGGAACCTGCTTCGGAACTTACCAGCCTGGAACATATCCCTATCCCTATGCTGGGCATCTCCTCATCACGATGCCAGTCTTAGGGGTCCCCTTAGTTTTTCACAAAGCGAATCCGTGAGATTGTCATCGCCTTTTGGCGTGTCAAGATTAGGGATAAGGATAAGTTAGAGGCTGGTGAGGAACTGGCCGGCTTTGTCACGGAGCCGAGACCGAATCCGTTCGGCCGCCGAAGTGCGCAGCGCCGCCATGCAAGCATCGGACCGCACCAAATCCTCGGAATATCGGAATCGAGTCGGATCGAGCCGGCGAGCATCGATATCGGACCGATCGGATCGGAATGGGGCCTGGGGAGGACGTGGGGAGCTGCTGGTACTTCCGTTCTCATCCACGCTTCATTCCCCGCTTCCTCCTCCTCCTCCTTCCTTCTCCTCCTCCTTCTCCTCCTCCTCCTCCTCCTACCCTCCACGCCTCTTCATTGCAAGCAAATCCTCCTTGTCGCACAACCATGCGTGCCAGAAACAGCGGGCCGGGCGCTTCGCCTGAGAGTTCATCACCGGTTATTGTCCTGAAGCTCGAATGCTCCGGCAGCTGCACGGATGGCGGGCGGCCCGCCTTGAATGTGCACCTCTCGCCTAAGCGCCGCGAGCATTCATTCTGAAATCTGTCAACTATGACACTGGAAAACTGACAGCTGTCAAGGTGTTGGTTTCACCTTGGCGCTGTGTCATATGTCATGAAGGCGCCCAAACGAGTCAAGGATGAAGTTGTTATTTCAAAATGTGGCTCTCGCCTTTGCGCCTCGCACGCTCGTCTAAAGTACGTCCAACACTACGAGGACGGAGGGCGAATGGCATCCAAAACAAGGAACTCGCCTTTGCGTTAAGCGCATTGCGTCTTGAAGCTTCAAGCAGCTTCACGGATGTAGGGCGGCCTGCTATGAAATGCAGTTCTCGTATTCGCGCCACGCACACTTGTCTGAAACCACTTCAACAGTGCAGTGAGGAAGGGCGGTTCCTTTTCAAACCCGGACTATCGCTTTTGATTTCGTCAGCGCTTACGACCGTAAGATCAAACTTGTGCAACAGTTACAGGGATGAGGCGCAAGCGGTTCTTCTTGAACATGGGGATCTCTCTCAGAACCTGGAGGACGTGTGCAGAGGACACCCCGGCTTCACTCAGAGCTAATTTTGACAACACCTCCTGACCTCCCCTGACGTCCGACGTCTCGGGACGTTTCTCATAGCGTGGCCCTCCAGAGGTCTCGACTTGTTCCTTGGATACGGTGCTTTATATGCAGTCCGGAAAATGGGCTCGGAGAAAAACTGTGCGATGCCCAAACGGCAAATGTTGTCCCAAACCGGCAGCAAACTTATGTCACAAATGGGCAACGTCCGCGGCGACACCAACAACGAGTCCGGCTCAAAACGGACAAGAACTGCTGTTGAACTTCGTCCCGATTCTCTACGTAATTTTCCGCGTCGGCCATACCAATTTCATCCTCAGTCGTCTTGTGACGGCCCCCGGGCCCAGCAAGGGCCCCCGTGTGCTGAACACTGCCATGAACCTCCAGTGGAGCTGGTTTCTTCGCGGCGCGAGGATCTCAGGGCCCGAGGGGCACACATCGATACCTGGACACGTTCCAGGGCTCGTTCTGGCAAGAATTTCGATGCGGATCCAGCAGTGCAGCGACGAGGACGCCCCAGTAGGACGAGAAGAGGCCCTCGAGGCTCCCAGAGGAAACCAACCTGTAAGCTTAGGTCCTCGTTTTGAAGACCACCTCCTCATCCACCTTCTGCCTCACATCCTCCTCCCATTCCTGCCTCTGTCCTCCGCATGCACTCATAGTCGTCTCCTCACATACTTCGTGGCCCCATAAGGAGCTCAAAACAAGGCACAACTACCAAGGTCCGCATGGCGTTCACACTTCATGTTGGCACACCCCTCGCACGCTTCGTGGTCCCACAGGGAGCTCCAGCTAAGGCCCAAATACTAGGGTCCGCATGGCGTCGCCGCCTCATTTCGGCACACCACTCGCGCGCTTCGTGGCCCCATAGGGAGCTCCAATTAAGGCCAAAACGCCAAGGTCCGCATGGCGTCGGCGCCGCATGTCAGCACGCCCCTCACACGTTTCGTGGCCCCAATAGGGAGCTCCATGTCAAGCCCAAAAGCCAAGGTCCGCATGGCGTCGTCGCCTCATTTCGGCACCCGTCACACGCTTCGTTGCCCCATAGGGAGCTCCAACTAAGGCCCAAATACCAAGGTCTGCATTGCTGCATGGCGTCGCCATCGAATTTCGAATCCAGATGACTAGCTGCTAGCTCCGAATGAATCCCACATGCCAGGGTCCGAATTGCGTCGCCGCTTCATTTCGGCACACCCCACACATGCTTCGTGGCGGTCCGCATGGCGTCGGTGCTTCGAGCCAGCTCACGCCTCACACGTTTCGCGGTCCAACAGGAAGCCCCACCGGAGGCCCACATGCCAGGGTGCGTGTGGCGTCGGTTTTTCACTTCGGCACACTCCTCACACGTTTCGTCAGCCCATAAGCCATAGGCAGCCCCGCCACCAGGGCCAAAGCCAGGGCCAGCTTGGCGGCACCTCCCTATTCTGGAGGCGTACCCCTCGCACCTCTCATGGCCCGAACGGGGCTTCCCTTTCCTTTGCCCCACCTGCCTTGCGGAACTCACGCCTGCATATGGTTGGGTCCGTCACCAGGAGATCTCTTCATCTTCCTCGCGGCACGAGGACGTCTGGTCTTGAGGACCACAACTCGGGCCTCTGGCGGCCGATCGGGACGATCCAGGCACCCCAGAACGCTCCCGACGAAGGGCACGTGATGGAAGGCATCCCAGACCCCCACTTGTCGTGATTTTTTCGCACCGTCGATCCCCAAGAGGTCTGGACCCTCTTCCCCGGGACCCGTTTTTCATCCTGCACTTTTTTGTTGAGGGTCCCGAGGCCCAGCGAGGGCCCCCAGAGGCAGAACATAGAGAGCAGCCTCTCGGTCTGATTTGTTTTGCCGCGCGAGGGGGTCTGAGAACCTACAAGAGTCGCGACGAACACGTCGAAGAGCCGCCGGGAGGCGTCACAAACGCCCAGGTCGGGGGCGCCGCGACGGTGGGTAGACTAAAAGTGTCCACACGTGTCTCGCCAAGGCCTCGAGTTGTCAAATTACGTCGGGTCGACATGTATACCCCCCCTTCCCCACACTCAAAGTGGACGGGTCTGGGCGGCAGACCACAGGCCAGGGGTGGGTTTGCGGGGGAGGGGTGCGAAACAAGGGCGTTTCGCAGTGGTGGCTGTTATCACGTTGCATCGCCTTACCATCAGGTCGGGCGTGTCCTCCTACGGGCGGAGCTTGAACGAAAAATTAGCACTCATCCCAAGATGCTCAAACATACTCAAAGCTAGAAGAAAAATCGTCCCCAGACTATTAAAACAAAAATTGAATGGCTCCTCCTGTAGAAGCACAGGGCGTGGAAACTTTGACCTAAGGCGCATGAGGTCCTGCGGGCGCCTCGCCTCGCAGTGCCCCCTGCGGTCGGGGGCGGGCGGGGGAAGAAAAGGGGCGCCCGCGGCCTGCGAGCAGGGTGAGCGGCGCCTCCACCAGCGCGAGGCGGGAGCCCCGGAACACGTCGCGCTGGCGGCGGGGGAGGAGGAAGAAGTGGAGGAGGAGGCGGGAGGAGGAGGACCATGAGAAGGGGGAGGAGGAGGAGGAGGAGGAGGAGGAGGAGGAGGAGGAGGAGGAGGAGGAGGGGCAGGAGGAGGAGGAGGAGGAGGAGGAGGAGGAGGAGGAGGAGGAGAAGGGGAGGAGGAGGAGGAGGAGGAGGAGGAGGAGGAGGGGGAGGGGAGCCCTCTACCCCTTTCGCATCAGAGGGTCCAAGAAACCATCCAAACCAACCCCTCACGACCAGCCCTCTCTACCAGATGAGCTACCACCAGGGCACGACCTGCACTTCAGTCCTAAAGCTCCCATCAAAACAACCATCAAGCACAGCACTCCACCCACCCTGACCTTCGACTTCGACCAAAGAGCGATGAACGAAACCGCGGACTACGCTTTCCGACACTTCCCACCTCGGCCTCTACTACAACAGCACCGACTCCACCTATTCACCGATGGCTCCAAGAACCCGAAGAAGACTGAGGACGACGCGTGGGCCGTTGTTATCGCCGGCAAGGACACCAACTTCTCCTTCCAGGGCGCCATTGCCGGGAAGCACAAGGATGGTACTACGATCGCGGCCAGAGACCACGGCGCCTCGGAAACGACATCGACCACAGTCGAGATCACCGCTCTCATTTGGGCCTTCGCCTACGTCATCTACCTTGACCTCGACGGCATCACTACGGTTGCGACAGACTCACTGGGTGCCCTCAATCTTGCCACTCGCCAAGCCTTCACCGACCATGACGTCGACCTCGTCAAGACCCTCTGCATCTTTTACGACATCGTGAAGGACCGAATCGAGCTTCGGCATGTCCACGCTCACGAGCACAACCCATGGAACGAACTAGCCGACGCAGCTGCCAACCACGCCCGCCTTCAACCAGTTGATCATCCCCAGCCAACCGGAGGGCCTGGGAGTTCCTCATCGACGCCGACGACAACACCAAAAGAGCATACCCGACGCTCATGCACGACCGCCTCCACGCACCGACATTCTCGACGACAGCCACCCCGAGACATATCCACCGAGACCCTGACATGAAGAAGAGAGAGGTAGAGGTAGCCATCACCTTCGCCACCTACAACATCTAGGCTGGACGAGAACCGAGACCTGGTGCAAGTAAGAGGCGCGAACATATATCCCGTCTAAAAAAAGTCATGGCCGCCATCTACGACGACGAAATCCACATCATCGGCACCCGGGAGGCCCGCACTGTCTTCGGCACCAGGGACTCGACCGACGCCGCCTGCGTTGGTGCCAACAACTGCTACGTCATCGCCAGCGGCCACGACAGCTTCAACTTGGGATGCGAGTTGCATGCCCTGACATCAAAACCCTACGGCTGGAGCGGCGGCACCCACTTTACTGCCGACCCGACAACGTCGTCATCATCCAGAAGAGCCCCAAGCTACCATTGGTCAAGGTCTCGGCTCCTGGATTCCAGCAGATCAGCTGCGCCGGCCACGCCCCCCACGCCAGAGCATCTTCCAGCGACAAGGATTCCTTCTGGAACACACTGTCCAACCTTGCGAGTAAGTATAGCACCTCGATGATGATGATTGACCCCAACGCTCGGACGGGATCGATAACCAGCTCAGCTATAGGATCTGCGGGCCTACCAGAGCCAGAAGACAACAACGGAACGCGATTCCACGAGTTCCTGCTCGCACACAGATTATCTGCAGTGAACACTTTCCAGAGCGGAGGAGACGACCACCACACATGGCCTTCCAACACTGGCCCCCCACCGCATCGACTACACCGTTGTCGAGACCGACATGCTGAGCTGCATCACGGAATGTTCCACTATGTTTGGCATCGACAGCGGCGACATCCTCGAGAAGAAGGACGACCACTACCCAGTTCGCACCACGATGCAGTACCAGATAAACACCACCAGATCTACCACTACTCCAAAGCTCGACGAATCGAAGCTGAAAGACGCCAACCGCAGAAAGAAATTCGCCGATATGCTCGACGCAGTTCCGCATCCCACCTGGGACACCAACGTCGACGACCACCTCAGTATCATTACGGAAGCCATTACCACCACTGCTCAGCAGGTATTTCGACGCGACCGACCCACGCCACGCAAGCCGTACATTACGACGAGGTCATCTACTCTGCTACGGGCACGGCGCGCCGCAAGAAAGACCACCAGGATAGTCAAGAGCAACAGGCCCTCTTCGAAGACGGCAAGACGAAGGCTGCGATACTTCACCAACATCCTAGCCAACGACGCCCTGTTACCACATCCCAGCGACGGCCTTTACCCTGTGGACCTGCCGAGCTGCATCCCCTTGGTGACTTCCAATCACACTATCTAATTAACGCCTGTTTTGCCAAAACACGTTTGCTGTTGACAGAAACGGTACAATGGCACCTAGCTGCAGCAATTAAACACAAACGTTGCATGACAGATTCCAGTGCACGTAACCCTGCGAGTGTGCAGCACAAGTGCAGACAGTGCACTCTCAGCTGTTTTCTCTGCTGTCGCCTGCGCTACTGGACCACCATTTGTACGTGCACCTACAAGAGTATTTGGACACGCACATGCTCACACTCGGTGTCGCAGTGGCTGCAAGCCGCGCAAGATGTCGAGCCGCCAGCGGAGAAAGCCGACAACAAGAGAGGTCGCAGAGAGAACCCCGACACGGCCAGCCAGGAGAAGAAATTGGCACTGCAGCTGGAAGCGAGGATGCGAGAGAGAGAGAGAGAAGCGAACGATGTGCACTTCAGGTCCCCAGCGGGCCACCCTGTAGTTATGAGCATGGAGCGGGCCACGTCAAGCTACGAGCGGCCATCAATTGGGCAGCCCGCACCTGCGCGCGTTCGCCGGCCTCGTGGAGCCTCTCGCGGCCACCAACCTGGACGGCAAGTCCGAGGATATCGTGGTGTTGCTTGTAGGTCTCAAGCGCCTGCACAAGCAGCACGCAGAAAAGAGACCATGCCGTCGGAGATGGAAGGCTGCGTCCACGGCTGCAGGGTGAGCGACGACTTCACGGAGCACGGAGCTCAACCGTTGTGCAGGATCAGCTCCTCAGTGGACGGGTTCTGGCCATCTGGTCAGTCGGCAGTGCAGGAGGACGAGCTCGACATGATCCAGTCGCACCCTCAGGAGATCGATTGCAGCAGCAGGTTCACACACACACACACACATGGCGGTCGGCAGGCTCCTCTCTCTGTGCACATGAGGGCGGCAGGGATGACGATGTTGCCAGGGAAAGCGCCTGTAGGCGGGCTCGCCCACAGCACCCGAGGCGGCAAGCGAGGGAGCAGCTGAGCAGCGAGCAGCAGCGTGAACACAGCAGGAGCAGGCACCCCGGCAGGTCTAGCAGGGACCCAGTTCCCCTCCGCTCTCTTCCTTGTGAGCCTCCTTCCCCTCCTGGCCTTAAGTCGGGCCTGTCCCCCTACAGGCCGATTTTGGACGACAAATTACAGATACCCAAAAAATGAATTTAAAATGCTCCAAAATGGTCAAACAAGAATCCCCAAACTATTTCTGGACTATTTTTGAACATTCCCCCTGTAGAGGGACAGGCCCGACTTAATCCTGACCCTCCGGTCCTTGACCTCACCTGGAAGCAAAGACTTGTAGCGCTTCGTAAGAGAACTCGGTTGACAGAAGCCCAGGGCCGCAGAAAGAGCTCCAGCACCCCCGTGTCGTGATGGACCTGCCGGTGCCAAGTCGGCGCATCAAGCACGGCCGCCTTGACACAGCGTCCCCTTAAGTGTTTACGGCCCCCTGGTATTCCCGTGTCCTTGTGAGGGCGCGGACTTTGTAACATCCAGGCTCTGCGGTGTACTAGAGCTGAGTCAGACCTAACTCGGCATCGATGAAGGTTCAGTCAGTCAGTCAGTCTCCTCCTCCTCCTCCTCCTCCTCCTCCTCCTCCTCCTCCTCCTCCCCCTCCTTTTCCTCCTCCTCGTCCTCGTCCTCCTCCTTCTCCTCCGTCTCCTCCTCCTCCTCGTCCATTGTTTTCCCTTCTAACATGTTTTCCCTGTCGCACCCCGAGGCCAGTTTTTAGGGCGGGCCGGGCGTTTCGCCTGATACGTCCTCACCACTTAGGACCCTGAAGCTTAAAAAGTGGCAACAGTTTCGCAGATGGCAAGCGGGTCGTTTTCAAAATGTGGCTCTCGCCTGAGCGCCGCGCACATTCCTTTTAAAGACTTGCAAGAATTGCACGGATTGAAAGCGGGTGGTTTGCAAAATGCGGCTCTCGCTTTAGCGCCGCGCACATTCGTTCTAAACATGTGCAAAAATTGCGCGGATGGGGGGCGGGTGGTTTTCAAAATGTGGCCCTCGCCTTAGCAACGCGCACATCAGCTTAGAAAAATTGCACGAACACCACGGATTGTGGGTGGTCCCTTTTCAAAATGTGGCGCTCGCCTTGGCGCCGCGAGCATTCGTTGTAAAACTTACCAAAGTTTCACGGCTTCACATGGTCAGCGTACCGGAAATCGTTTTGGACAGACTCAGGATTGTGAGGGTGCAACAATTAGTTTGATTCGCGGTGTCCTAGTCCTAGGTATGGCGTTCTGGCGTGATTCACGATCGTGAAGATGCATCAGTCAGTTTGACCCGCGGCGTTGGAATCCAGAGAATGTTTCGGCATGATTCAGGGTATTCAAACGGTTGTTTTCCAACGAAGCAGTTCCCTCATTGGAAATGAACCGTTGTATGGGGCCTACGAGGAGGGAGCTGTGAGGCAGGGTTCATTCCAAAATCGTTGACGTCTCGTGGGTTTACACGGGTCGCTGTCCTCCTCCTCCACGTCATCGTCCTCGTCGTCTTCCTCCTCGCCCTCCACCTCGTCCTCCTCTTCTTCCTCCTCCTCCTCGTTTTCCTCTTTCCTTCTCGTCCTCCCTCGCCCTGCGAGCGGCGGCCGCGCACCGGCGGAGCGCCGCCGTACTGCGGGCAGGTGCCCCGGGTGAAGTGCCCAGGGCGGTAGGGCTCGCGGCCTCGGAGGGTATGGGGGGGCGCGCCGCCGCGGGGCGGCCGCCCGGCGGCCCGCGGCCTCGTCCCCGCGCCGTGGCGGACTCCTCCTCCGCCTAATCCTCTTCCTCCTTCTCCTCCTCCTCCTCCTCCTCCTCCTCCTCGTCCTCCTCCGCTTCCTCCTCCCCCTCGTCCTTCTCTTCCTCCGCTTCGCGCCCGCGCCGCCCGCCCTGCGTTCCAGGGGCACCGATGCGACGAGGTACGCAAGCGCGACGACCTAGGCCCCCGCGCCCCCGCGCTAGCGCAGGCGCTCAGCCGGCCAGCTCCGCCGTCAGCCGGGCGGCGGTCGCTGGGGCCTCCTCGCCGCGCACGGCCGCGTGGAGCTGCCGAGCGACGGCGCGGTACATGCGACACGTTGGACTCGGCGCCCCAGCGCCGCGTCAGCGCGCCGGCCGCGGCCGCCGCTTCCGGGCCGTCGCCCAAGCTCTGCGCCGGGTCGCGCGCGAGCCGGCGCAGGCGCCGCAGCGCCGCCTGCTGCCCGAGGCGGCCGGCGGTCTCGCGCGCCAGCGGCAACAGCGGCAAGGGCGCACGGTGCCCTTGGTAGCGGCGCCGCTTGTCGGCCTCCGCGGCGGCGTTCGCCGCGCCGTCTCCGTCGGCGGCTGCGGCCACGGCCCGCGCGTCGCCCGGGATGCTGTAGCGGACCGCGACGTCAGCGAGGAGGCGGGGGCAGTCCCCTCGCTGCGCCCCCAAGTCCAGAAGCGCTTCCTCCCGCTCCCCCGCAAGCGCCGCTCCGCAGGCCGCGCGCGGCCCAGACGGCGGGGCGTCGGCGGCGCCGCGCGCCGTGCAGGCCGCGGAGGAGCAGCGCCAACGCCACCTGTCCCAGGCGGGCCCTGGCACCTGCCGCGCTGTCCGAAAGCCAAACTCCTGGTGGATGTGCTCCCAGACGTCCTCCAGGTCGCAGCTCCGGGCCTTGGTGCCGCCCCCGCAAGCGCACCCGTAAGCGTGGCGCGCCTTGCTGCAGAACGGCTCTCCGCAGGCCTGCCCCGCCCTCGCGCCAGTTCGCAGGCGGTTGCCGCAGCGGCTCCCGACGCGGCGTCGTGGCCCAACAGGGCTCGCGCCGTGGCGTAGTAGGCGGCGTCCTCGAGCCGCTGGCGGGGCCCGCCGTTGGCAAGCTGCCAGCCCACCGCGTGAGGCCCTCAGCAAGAGCGCAGCAGTGCCCGCTCCTCAGCCCCCAGGGTGCTCCGCAAGGCGTGGTAATGTTTTTACCTGACAGCTTTTGCTGATAGGTTTCTGGTGGTGTCAAAAGAGAGCATCATGACTCCTCAGGGGGGTCTGGGCGGGTGCCGGGGAGGAGAACCGGGAACAGAACCGGGAACAGAGCCGGGCTCGCTTTTCGCCAACGGTCACACACTTCGTGCTCTTCGACCTCCCAGAACTCCACTCCCGGGCCACATTCTGGATGCCCGGAGCCAACTGTAGGCCACTTCGTGCTCTTCGACTTCCCAGAACCCCATTCCCGGGCCACATTTTGGATACCCGGAGCCAACTGTAAACCACTTTGTGTTCTTAGACTTCCCAGAACACCACTCCTGGGCCACATTTTGAATGCCCGGAGCCAACTGTATGCCACTTCGTGCTCTTCCACTTCCCAGAACTCAACTCCCGGGCCACTGTTGCTGCTGCTAGTGTATCTATTGCTATTGCAACTACTGGCAGTGCCACTGCGACTGCCGCTGACGTTGCCACTGCGACTGCCACTGCGAATCCGAATGCCAGGCTAAGGCTGAGGCAGGCTGAGGCTGAGGCCGAGGCCGACGGCAGACTGAGGCTGAAGCTGAAGCAGGCTGAGGCAGAGGCAGGCTGAGGCTGAGGCTGATGCTGAGGCAGGCTGATGCTGAGGCTGAGGCTGATGCAGGCTGAGGCTGAGGCAGGCTGAGCCTGAGGCCGAGGCTGAAGGCAGACTGAGGCTGAGGCTGAAGCAGGCTGAGGCTGAGGCTGAGGCAGGCTGAGGCTGAGGCAGGCTGATGCTGAGGCAGGCTGAGGCTGAGGCTGAGGCTGATGCAGGCTGAGGCTGAGGCAGGCTGAGGCTGAGGCCGAGGCTGAAGGCAGACTGAGGCTGAGGCTGAAGCAGGCTGAGGCTGAGGCTGAGGCAGGCTGAGGCTGAGGCTGAGGCTGGCTGAGGCTGATGCTGAGGCAGGCTGAGGCTGAGGCTGAGGCTGATGCAGGCTGAGGCTGAGGCAGGCTGAGGCTGAGGCCGAGGCTGAAGGCCGACTGAGGCTGAGGCTGAAGCAGGCTGAGGCTGAGGCTGAGGCAGGCTGAGGCTGAGGCTGAGGCAGGCTGAGGCTGAGGCAGGCTGAGGCTGAGGCTGAGGCTCAGGCTGAGGCTGAGGCAGGCTGAGGCTGAGGCCGAGGCTGAAGGCAGACTGAGGCTGAGGCTGAAGCAGGCTGAGGCTGAGGCAGAGGCAGGCTGAGGCTGAGGCAGGCTGATGCTGAGGCAGGCTGAGGCTGAGGCTGAGGCTGATGCAGGCTGAGGCTGAGGCAGGCTGAGGCTGAGGCCGAGGCTGAAGGCAGACTGAGGCTGAGGCTGAAGCAGGCTGAGGCTGAGGCTGAGGCAGGCTGAGGCTGAGGCAGGCTGAGGCTGAGGCTGAGGCAGGCTGAGGCTGAGGCTGTGACTGCGACTGCCGTTGCCACTGCGACTGTCATCGCGAATGCGACTACGACTGCGAGAACAGAATTCTACAACTGGATTCCCATCCGAATCTTAAGGAGAATGCTTCCAGATATGCTTCTACACATCGCTGTTAGGTTGCTTTGCCGGGATAATTTTGTTTTGTTTGTCAAGCGTTTCCGCGAGCAGCCGCTGAGTTCGTTGCTGAGGTTCGGCCGCCAGCTGTCTCCAGGGCGGCAGCAGCGGGGCCCTCTCCCCCGCCTCTGGCAGCAGCTCTGCCAGCGCCTCCCGGCATGCGGCCGCCAGGGGCAGGCCGCAAGCCTCCAGGTCAGCCAGCCCCGCCAAGCCTGTCCGGGCCCGCACCCCCGCCAGGTTCTGCGCCCAGGAAGCCGCCCAGGCAGCCGGCGCCAGCGCGGCCTGGCTCTGGAAGCCCCGGCCGCGCGGCGAGTCCAGCGCGGGCAGCTCAGCGAGCCTCCAAAGCAGCGCCGCCGCTGTCTCCGCAGTCTCCGCGCAGCGCGCGGCCGCGAAGCCTGCGCCGCCTAGGTCGAGCCAGCGCGCGTCTCTCTCGTCGGGCATGCCACCCTGTGGAAGCGGCTCGCCAAGCGGGACGCCCAGCAGCGTGATGCCATCTGCGCGCCAGCGCCCCTCTGTCTCCTCCTCCTCCTCCTCGTCTTCCTCGTCCTCCTCCTCTTCCTCCTCCTCCTCCTCCTCCTCCTCCTCCTCCTCGTCCTCGTCCTCCTCATCGTCCTCGTCCTCCTCGTTTTCCTCCTCGTCCTCCTCATTTTCCTCCTCCTCCTCCTCCTCCTCGTCCTCCTCCTCCTCCTCCTCCATCCTCCACCTCCTCCTCCCCCCTTCCCTCTCCTCCTCCTCCTCCTTCCCCGCCTCCTCTCCTCCTCGTCCTCCTCCACCTCCTCCTCCTCCTCATCAGCAGCCTCATCAACATCCTCCTCCTCCTACCCTCCTCCCTCTCGCCTCCGCCTCCTCCTCCTCCTCCTCATCAGCAGTAGCAAGCAGCAGCTTCATCACAGCATCATCATCATCAGCATCATCATCCCTTCATCATCATCAGCAGCAGCATCAGCATCAGCATCATCACCCTTCTCTTCCTCATTCCCTCCGTCCTCCGTCCCCCGCCCTCCTCCTCCTCCTCCTCCTCCTCCTCCTCCTCCTTCTCCTCCTCCGCCGCCCTCCTCCTCTTTACACATCCGCTTTTCGGACATGTCCGTCGGCTCGTGGTGGCGTTCTCGCCACAGGATGCCTTCCAGCAGATTGCGCCTCGTCGAGAGCGCTCCCGGGAGTTCCTGGATTGTCCCGATCGGCCGCGGAGGCCCAGGTTATGACCCGAAACCCGCATCCTCGCGACGAGACAAAATCTCATTGCAACGACCTTGCAGACGTGCCGCGGCGGATTTTTGAGCGTATTTCTGTACATGCAAAGACCCGAAAAGGCAAGAGAAAAACGAAGTGAATTTCACGTGGATGTGTTTAGACTTCGTTCCTGGCCAGGCACAAATTATCCGGGCGAAAGACCCAACCATATGCAGTTGTTGGTAATGCGTTGTGGGTGCCGCTTTCGGTGGAGCTCCCCATGGGCCCCATGGGGCCACGAAACGCGTGAGGGACGTGCCGTAATGGGTGGGAGAGACGCATGCGGGCGGTGCCACTGGGGCTTGGTGGAGCTCCCAACCAATGGGGCCGCGAAACGCTGCACTGGGTGTGGCGGACGCATGCGGGCGGTGCCCCTCGCTGGAGCTCCCGATGAGGCCACGAAGCGCTGTGCTGGTTGGGGGAGACGCATGGGGGCGGTGCCACTGGGGTCTTTCTGTGGAGTTCCCGACGGGGCCACGAAACGCCGCACTGGGTGGTGGCTAACGCATGCGGGCGGCGCCAGTGGGGGCTTCGGTGGAGCTCTCCATGGGGCCACGAAGCGCTGTTCTGGGAGGGGGGAACGCATGCGGGCGGTGCCAATGGGGCTGAGGCCGTCGGTGGAGCTCCCCATGGGCCCACGAAGCGCTGTACTGGTTGGGTGGGGGGTCGCATGCGGGCCGGCCACTGGGGCTTCCTACGGGGCCACTACACGCCGTAACGGGTGGGGGGGGCGCATGCGGGCGGTGCTACTGGGGCTTGGTGGAGCTCCCAACCAATGGGGCCGCGAAATGCACTACTGGGTGGTGGACAACGCATGCGGGCGGTGCCAATGTTTTTCCCAACCCTCCTGCGTTGGGTTCTCGTTTTGAATAGAGCACTGCTCGCGCGAACCTTCCTTCCTTCCTTCCTTCCCATCCCTCTCTTCCCCCCTGCCTTTGACCTCGATCGTCGCTGCGTGCCAGCTGGGGGCTGCGATCTGTGAAATTGTCGTCACTTTCGAGGCCTGCTGGGGGGCCCAGCACAGTGTGCACCCGCGGCGGATTCAAATGGAACCTCGCCATCCCTGGGGGGCTGCGATCTGTGAAACTGTCGCCACTTTCGAGGCCTGCTGGGGGGCCCACTGCAGTGTGCACCCGCGGCGGATTCAAATGGGACCTCGCCATACCTGGGGGGCTGCGATCTGTGAAACCGTCGCCACTTTCGAGGCCTGCTGGGGGGCCCAGCACAGTGTGCACCCGCGGCGGATTCAAATGGGACCTCGCCATACCTGGGGGGCTGCGATCTGTGAAACCGTCGCCACTTTCGAGGCCTGCTGGGGGGCCCAGCACAGTGTGCACCCGCGGCGGATTCGAATGGGACCTCGCCATCCCTGGGGGGCTGCGATCTGTAAAACTGTCGCCACTTTCGAGGTCTGCTGGGGGGCCCAGCACAGTGTGCACCCGCGGCGGATTCAAATGGGACCTCGCCATCCCTGGGGGGCTGCGATCTGTGAAACTGTCGCCACTTTCGAGCCCTGCTGGGGGGCCCAGCACAGTGACGCCACGCGCGGACCCAAATTAGACCTCGCCATCCCTGGGGGGCTGCGATCTGTGAAACTGTCGGCACTTTCGAGGCC